CGCTGGTATTCTGTGAGAGCGTGGTCCTTCCCCGGTCGAGCTGACCCGTTCGTGCTACAACTATACTACTAATATAACTGCAGCATGGCTCTACCACGTAAATTTCTTTCTTCTTTCTTTCTTTCTCGTTGGATCTTATCTTATCTCTTTCTTTTTAAATGTATATACGACCGTCAAAGTTAAAATACACACTTAAATATAAAAGTAATTGAATTTGTAACTAAATTCAGTGAACAAACATGTTCAGTCTTCCGATCCGCAATTAGAACTTGTCGGCTTTGATAGTTGCCAAGTTTGGCAAACTTCAAGTGAAACCTCGAACTGATCTACGTTGCAACTTCTATGGAAAATGTGGTCAGTATTACTTTGTAGACACGATTGTAATACTTGAACTTAAAATTTAACTTGATAAACATTATTATTCTAATATCCACAGTAGGACCAGAATCGGCATAGCTGAATGGACCACTAAGAAAAAAGATCAAGAAGAAAGGATAATAATTTTGGTGCGTAAAGAGAAACGGAGACCTATTTTACTGGAAACGAGGCATTCTATCTTTGTCCTCTGGGGTGCTAAAACTTATACTAAACTATATATATTTTAATGTGAATTTTAACTCTTTGTAACGGTTTTGAATTTGTAACTTAAAATATTTAGCGAATGAGAGATTAGCAGAAATCACGAGAAGTAGTGACATTGATAAGTGATATGAAAGCTATTTTGTTCTAGTTGCAACTAGTTTTCTACTTGGAATATTTCAGTAATTTACTTACGAAATATTTTGCAGATATATTCAAAACCACTATGCAAAGTAGAGTCTAGCGTTTTTACTTTACTGCATAGGTCTAATGGCTTGACTTTTGTTGTTTTTGGTTGTCCTCAAACGGAATATCGTATCAGGCCAATCTTAACAAACGGTGTCGTGACGATGTAGGAACTTCTACTTATCGTCACCCCGTATCATCCCGTGAGTGTTGTAAGAGGCGACAGAGGGATACTGGCACAGGAGATAGGGAGCAGCATCTTCCGTTTTCTATTTTTATATAAGACAGTTCGAACAAGCATGTGTTTTATTAGATGGTAAGTTGCTACCGCCGCCCATGAACAACTGCAACACCAGGGAAATTGCAAAGCCGTTGCCGATCCCATAAAAAAGAGAAGGCTCCTTTCTTGAAGTTTCTTGAGTGGTTCCTGATAACAGCTCAAAATAATGAAAAATTGCGGTTGCCAACCCGCCTGCCAAGCATGGCAACTATGGTAAAATTTGTAGTACAATATATAATTTTTTTTAAAAATACAGAATTTTTTAATAGATATCAGCATATCTTTCGAAAAGACTACTACGTCCGCTGTATTTGACTGCATCTTAGAAATTCTGAATGCTCTACTTTAACTTTTTTAACTAACTTTTTGCTAGAAATGCTATATTCGCTGTGTATATGAGAGAAACCGCACGAATGGCTCTCTTATCTTGCGAATAGAAAACAGTACGTGCAGGTATCACATTTAAACTAAAATAGAAAACTGATAAATGACATAAATTCGTCCACCGCAACAGTAGCAGGATCTATACCGCAGGGTAGCGTCAAAGAACTTCCTTCTGTAGCACCACATAGAGTCGGTTTGTTTGCAGATGACGCGACAGCTATAATTATTTGTGAACAAAACAATCTTAGTAGTTTGCAGAGAAAAATAACCCAATGCCCTAGCAAAATTGTGAATGAATTAGGTGTATAAGGTTTATTATAAAATTTTGAAAATACCAAAGTAGCACAGAGATATATGATATATATATATGCCCATATCAGAGATCAGAAGTCCCACTTGCTATATCTTACCAAGGTGCAAATATTGAGCAAGTTCGCACATTTTCGCACCTCCGGATAACAATAAACTCAACTTTTTCATGGAAAAATCATGTAGAAAGAGAAGTGAGTAAGTTGAGCAGTTTTTACTTTTAGCTACGTGACGATAGAAATATGCAGTGCCCACTTACTGCGTACCACAGTCACAACGCTACCTGGACAAGATATGATATTATATTCTGCACGCGGTATTCATGCTCGAAAAACGTTGTCTTTGAATCATCACATTTGCAGCACCAAGAGATTCATGTCGAAGGTTATTTCCCACATATAACTTACTAACTTATAATCTGGTTGCTCCCGTCCGTAGACAGAGAATGCTATTCTCTGTCTACACTCCTGTCACAATTCTCATATTATTTAAAATGGTCCCTACTACATGGTTATAAGGGTTTAGTTTACGACCATTTACCTAATGCGGTAAAAGCCCATCAGTGTCGTAAATTTGAAATAGTACTTATGAAAATGATTTTTTGTAAAAACATATTATAATTTGAAGGAATATTTTAATGATATATTATAAGTAAATTTTAATTATTTGACAATTTTATTTCTTTCTATTTACTTATTTGATATTGTTAATGATTTTAATCAAAATTTTTAAGCTTTAATTTCATCGTCGATTTAAGTGACGAGTTGTCGATAGTTGAGTTGACATATAATATTTATTGAAATTTCATTTTTAAAATAAATGTGTGTGTATTATTAAATTCTGACGTTTTATAAATTAATTAATAATAATCTATATATTATGTACTATGAATATTGTAATTGAATTGAATTCTATATTACTTAACATTTAAACTCTGTATTAATATGCTACGCTTAATATGCTAGGCGCTACGGGTGTCACATGTTCTGTAAATATATTGTGCCAACTTTATACTTTGTGACAGACAATAAACAATTATGAATTATGAATCCCCATCGTGATACAATCAAAGGGGGCCTTTGTTGGATGGATGTATGAAGATCCTTACACTATAGTGTAGTGTGTACAGCGCACAATACACGATATTTTAATCATAGCTCTTATTTCGCGCGCGAATGCTTCCTACACAAAGCAAATACTAGTTTATACATTTGTCAAGAGGACAGAAGCACGCGCGATCGATGCACAAACGCCACACTGTTGCACACGCGGGAGCAGCGCGGTGGACTAACTGCTCCATTACCCTTTCACAGATGGTAGGATGCCGTCCAGTTGTGTGATGCACGTAAGCTATATTATGTATATCCTCACCAAAATATTGTTGTGTTTCAAATGGTGATTTTAGAGAAGCGGAGACCATTTTTACTGGATATGAGGCATTACATCTTAGCCTCAATGCATGCATGACGTACGGCAAGTTGATCCTTAATCGAAGATAAATGAAAATGTCTATAGGCCAAAGTATCCACTTACCATACCATCAGGTGAACTGTGTGCTCGTTTATCACGCTTAGTCTATAAATAAATATGTGTTTATTCAATTGTTGTTATAGAACGGGTCAACCCACCACAAAGCACAATAATTATACTTTTTTACAACGATATTATATTTTACTTATAATATCATTGACTTTTTTACCTCAAAAGATGTCCCATTTACTCCCGTGCCTATGTAATGTATGATCTTTCGAAAGAAATAAACAATTTTTTATTTTGTTTTAATTCATCTCCACACCAAGTCGACTGCCGAAAAATCTGTGCTTCCACCCTAAGTTCTATTCATTAGGTGACTATTGTAAACTCCATTATCAGTATGTTTAGAGTCCAAAAATTTCGAGTCATTGAAGACGGTAGTCTAAAAGCTTCGTGCAAATAGTTTAAAAATTTAATTCGACAATATTTCGTAAGTTTCCTTACAAAATAAACTCCGTACGAGAGAGAACAAAACTTATAAAAGGTAGTTGTGTCTATTAAGGAGTTGAGTTTATCTCTCAGTTAGTTCAAGCAGTAACAAGTCACTAGCTCGTAACTGTTACAATAATATATATTTATTTATTAATAATTTTATTATATATTTACTCGATATTTTCGTAAATTGTGAACCGTTCAATTTTTTTTAATCAAATAGATTTTACTTTATCTTACTATTTAAACAGCGTCAGAGCATGTGATATTCCTCCCAGAAAGTGCAGTCCACGTAAATGTATAATAAAATCAAATTTTAATGAAATATAAAAGCTGACGAAGAAAAAGTAAAAGTGATGGTAGAAGAACTGTACCGGGAAATTATTTTATTCTATTAGTTCTTTAAAGCCGGATTTTGTTTTTCATTAAGTCTAATAATTATACTATATTAAATAAAGATGTCGATATACCATTTGAACCGCGTGGTGGTGTAAGATAATCCACCACCCCTCATCATCTCCTGGGTGTCGTTGGAGGGGACACAGGGAAATGAAACAGGAGATGAGCATAGAAGCACAGCAGCATCTTCCTTATAAAATTTCTATACAACTTTTAAAAATATATATATTTTGTTGCAAATTAGCTTACTGAGCGTGGTAACTATGACATAATATCACTTCTTTGAGTCCTACCTGTATTCGGCAGTGGATATTTGATATACTGTAATAATGATGTTAAAGATGATGAGTTAAGTGAGTGTAACTATCACCCCCCTTCCTACTCTGGGGTTTCGTGGTGAGAAACTTTGGTAAGCGTCAGAACTATTATTTGTCCGCCGATGTATAGTATAATAGCAAGCATATGCGCTATCACCAACAAACCGGACCAGTATGATAAGTATATTAAAGATATCTTAAAGGTTGCATTCCATTGCTGCATGTTAGTTATATACAGTGGAATTACAGAGGCTTAAAGTAAAGATGTAAACATAGAGAGCATTTCTCATCAACAAGCAAATACTTTTCAAATGAAGTAACTTTTTGTCCGCCGATTGCCGCACACTTACTTCGTACTACAAAGTAAGACAAATATGCATGCAGTGGAGAATGGAGGCCTAAAAGCCTTTTAAAGAAGGAAATCCTCCCCTTAAGGGAATGACAAGGAATAAGTAACCTCCAACCTCCACTACTGATTCTGTCTTCACCCATTTATTTATTTATTTTTCATTATTAACACTTTAGTCTAAAGGTGGGGTAGTCTAAATGCCATTGCGGGATTCTTATTCTACGGCAAACTGCTACTGCGGCGCCAAAAAAACTGAGTCCGTCTCGCAAAGGTCTCGGCTGGCTTCCAAATAGGTTACCAGCATTGGGTTAAGAGCCCTCACGACAGCCCGATTTCGCTTGCTAAGGGGTATGCGGGGAAGTCGCGGTCGATTTTCGAGAGGCATGCTGCGTGTTTCCAAAATCGCCTCTTCCAATATACTCCTCATTTGCTCTAGTTCTTGGGAGACCATTTCATCATTGTACGAATCAACCACAACTGGAAGATCCATGGCGGCTTCCATGCGTGGATGCTGGTTTGTCGCCTGAGGAGCCGCATCTCCAACCATAGCCAATTCATTCGATGAGGGAATATTATTATTATTATATCTACGCATACTCACTGACGGCTTCGTGGCGCAGTAGCTTAGTAATCTGTTGCAGCACTGAGGGCCACGGTTTTGAATCTCGCAAGGAACAAGCTTAAATACACTTAATTATTTTATGACTTGGAATGGTTACAAGCAGCACTCGTAATGTTAATAGAGTTACCAGAATAATATTTTTCTAAAGAATTCTTTTCCGAGCAACTACCGAGCGATAAGTCTCTCCAGCCGACTCGCTATTTCTCCATTATTTCAGTCGGTTTGGCACAATCTCCTTTTAAATTCGATTCTCGCATTGGTATTTGTTGAACAAGAAAGGCCAACTTCGAATAAAACTATTATTTTATTTTATCGCCTGTAAGTTACATATTTTGTTATAGTTGGTATTATGACATCTACGTAGCGCAGTGAGATTACAATAAAATAATTTTTATTCAATATAGATTACAAGATTCATTATTGAAAATCATTTACGGCTTTACCAATGATTTGGAATGAAAATTCTGTGCTGGAAAGAACCAACCAGGAACCCCCCCCCCGTGCATCAGCACCATCATTTGGGAGGCGTCGCGGGTACCAGGACTATTATTCTGGATGTAGGTCTCCTCAAGATACCTGTGCTAGTAATGACGTCAACCACTCTAGTGTGACCGCCTGGTCCAGGTAGCGTCCTACTAATCTTGCCTTTCGGCCACGTATTTCGTGGCAATGTTATCTATTATCTGATAATGCCTTGATAATGTGATCTATTATCAAGACAATATCACCTTCTGTAGGCTCCATAAACTTTCCGTTATTACCTGTTCGAGGTATTAAAGTAGGCATGTATTCTTTTAGCCATCTTGTCCAAAAATGGACGGCTAACCTTTGTGCAAATTTCCAATTGAGTTGACCCGTCAGATGTTGCTCTAAAAATAATCCAGGTGATCGATTACCACATGAGCGTCCCAGAAGAAAATGATTGGGTGTCAAACCCTCTTCAGGACTATCCAAACTGAATGTTACCAGAGGTCTGGAATTTACAGTATGCTCTGCTTCCAAAAGCAACGTATGCAGAACCTCCTCTCGCGGGCTCCTTTCTTTGAGAGTAGCGGTCAACGCAATTTTAATTAATCTTACTAACCTCTCCCAAGCGCCACCCATGTGCGGTGCTCCCGGAGGTATAAATTTCCATTTAATAATTTTTTTAAATGACTCATTTTTCATGCCCTCATAGCATTCTTCACATGCTTTCAATAATTCTTTATACGCAGCTTTGAAATTTGTCCCGTTATCGCTGTATATAACGGCTGGTTTTCCTCTTCTGGCGATAAATCGTCTCAATGCCATTATCATTGACGCTGGTGTCAATGAGGCTGCTAATTCCAGATGTACTGCTCTGGTGGTCAGACACGTGAATAAAACACCCCAACGTTTTTCGTGTCGCCTTCCTATAGTCACACTCATAGGTCCGAAGTAATCTACGGCTGAGCATGTAAAAGGTGGTTCATTGTGAGCTATTCTCTCCAGAGGAATATTTCCTTGTGGCACGTTCTGCGGTTTTGACCTGTATGTCCTGCACCACTGACAATGATGTGACACACTTCGTATTACATTACGCAGGTTCAAGACATAAAATTTTTGGTTCACCTCATTCATCACCGTCTGGTGATTGGCATGTCAAATGAAAACACTCGTCTTGAACGAACTTCCAAATTAATAATTCAGCTTTTTTCAAGAGCGCTATGTCCAACGCGCTATCGGGTCCTTTAACCGACTTTGCTAAAACTTCGTTGGAACACATAACCGACTTTTCGGCTGCGTTGTCGGGTCCTTTAACCGACTTTCTTAACCTCTTGAATTTTTCTACCGCTTGTAAGGTGCATGTATTTGCCCCAAGGAATTTCTTAAAGCTGCTAAATCGTCCGTAGTCGGGTAGACTTAACGGTTCTTGCTTTCTCAGCGCATTTACGCCTTTTGGCGATTTTTCTTCACCTGTTTCTAAGCTATTTATGGTGTCCACTTGTTTGGGCCATAAATCAGGACTTTTCCTGAGGAATTCAGGTCCTTGAAACCAGCGATGACGATGATGCGAGTCCCAAAGGATCGAAGACCGACATCACAGCACTAGTTATATCCCTCTTCGTAGGCGGTCGTAAACCTTCTATCACCTCTTCCGGTGTGTTACAAAGACTTATGGAGAAACTTATTATATCCCGTTTGATATTTCAGATCAAACCTAAAGTGCGTTCTGTGTGCTCCTTATCTCCCAGTGAAGCACTGTCGCTCTTATATTTATTTTCCATTTTACATAAAACTTCGGGTCGATTGCTAGCCCATCCCCCTCAGTAGGAAAGAAGCACGTTTATGTAATTCATACATATCGTTAACTATCCTTTCGGCCGTCGTCACGTCGGGAAATGCCTGTAGATAGTCATCCATATAAAAATTGCTTTCCGTAGCGGAAGCTGCTTCTGGATAGATATGTGCGTTATCCTGCGCATTCCTATTCTTCACATACATAGCGATGCATGGTGATGATGCCGCTCCAAATATGAGTGACGTCATTCTATACTATTCCGGTGGCGCGTCACGCTTGTGCCGCCATAAGAATCGAAGGCTATCCCTGTCTTCTTCCCGGATTTTCACTTGCAGGAACATTTCTTTAATGTCTGCCATCACTGCCACGCTTCCTTCTCTGAATCGTAGCAGAACGCCAAATAACGACTTCAATAAGTCCGGTCCGGTTAACAATGCATCATTAAGACAACGTCCGGCCGTCCTAGCGGCGGCGTCGAAAACTATTCTTATTTTCCTTTTTTGTGGATGAGTCACTGCGAAGTGAGGAAGATATCACGTGCGTGGGGAAATGGAAATATGGTTCGCTTTCTCTGCGTAACCGTTAACGATGAGATTTTCAATTTGCTTCTCATATTCTTTTTTCAACTCGCTATTTTTGTCGAGCTTCTTTTCGATATTAAACAGGCGACTTTCAACCTGCGCTCTATTCGACGGCATGCACTCATTATCTGTGCGCCATAACAAAGCAGTCTCGTACCTATTATTAGGTATACGACGTACCGTTTTGCTCAAAATATTTAAAGCTCGTTCTTCTGGGTCGTTCATGGGCTTTCGCGCAGACACTCCCAGAGATTCCAAACTAAAATAATCTTTGATCAACTTATCCATGTCTTCCTCCTTCTTCGTGGAAATATGGTTAACAATCTTTTCTGGCTTAATGCCACTCGATATGTGACCATGTAAAACCCATCCAAGTTTAGTGAGCGATGCTACAGGTAGGTTCTTACCTCCTGAAATTAATTCACGAGTAACTATGAGATGCCAATTGTCCTGGCCAATTAATATGGTAGGTCTGGACCTCTCATAAATCAACTCGTCCTTAATCGGGGTCAAATGAGAACACCGTTGCAATAATTCTCGACTCACTGACTGCGGAGAAAGGTTAAGTGACTTAATTGTTTGTACACTTATCTCTTCTAAGTCGTTCGAGTAAATACCTTTTATCTTAACGTTTACGCGATACGAACTGTCTTCGTTAATTCGCTTACCTCCCACGGCTTCAATACGTAATTCTTCTTTACGTCCGCGAGGCGCTAACTTCTGAGCCATCCACTCCTCTATGAGTGTCATGGTTGATCCTTCATCCAGAAGAGCTTTGGTCTTGACCTTTTCCTCTAGGTCCATACAACTCGACCGGTATAATCTTTAAGTATGCACATGCCAGTGCATTCACTGTACTAACAGTTGTAATTTGAGCCTCTTTACCCCCCTCTGCCCTTGCGGCGAGGTATTTTCATTGGGGTATCGGTGTAGCATTCGATGATGTGACATTCTACATCCCTTTACACCACATTTTTTCCCTTTGCACTCTAACCTCATATGGTTAGGTGACAAACATTGAAACATACTTTAGCTTTTTTAACCGCTTCCCATTTCTTGCGATTATTCATGTCCTTAAACTTGTAACAACTCACTATAGAGTGCTCCTTGTTACATATAACACACTTATGTGTTACCCGACTTACAGGCTTATCCTGAGTTATCATAACCACTTGTCGGTTATGCCCTTTATTATTTCGGCGTTCTAGACGCTTGCTCGTATTACTTCGGCGCTCATAGCGCTCGCTCTTGAAACGGTTGCGTACAGACCCCTTTGCGGTGTGTACAGTTTGCTTCCTGAATTCAGGACGCTTCCGTTTTTCAGGCACATTCTCATTGCTTAAGGACGTTCCAAATTGTTCACTCAATAAATTTAAAAACTTGGCCATCTTCTATAACTCTGGCTCCAAGGGATGCTGAGCTCGATATTCAAACCATTTAAATTCAATCATAGTTCCAAGTTTCTCGACTATGCGGTTTACTAACTCCGGTGAGTATAAATACTGTGGTTGATTCAATGCTTGTATTGTGGTGCTCGAATTTAATTCGCGCCTCTAATTCGGCTTTCAGCCTCGCCGGTCGCGATGACCTACTACCTCTCTGTGACCCTTTGTCACTATTGTGCCCGATTACTGTCCTTGACGATGCCGCTTCTTCGGTCCTTTGACCTACTTTTTCGACTGCCGTTTCACTCCTGGATATAACGGCTTGTTGTGCGGTGCTGGCCTGCGTACCACTGGTGTCTGTCCTGTTGCTTGTCGTTGCCATGGACGCCCCTGAGTCCCACGTGCATGTGGACGTATCGGTGGTGGCTCCACTTGAAGGAGTTGTTCCACTCGAAGCAGTAGCTGTGGTCGCTCCAGATGGTTCCGCCTCTTTAGCTTTTCTTGAGGGCCCTGTCCTTGTCTTGGTTCCTTCGCTTCTCCCTATCTGGTCTTGTGCCTTCTTCATCTTGCAGGAAGGTGATTGTTGGCCTACGGTCCCTAACTGTCCCTACGGTCCCTACAACCTCTTACCTACAACCCTTCTACACCTCATCCTAACCCCACTACCCCCCCCTTTATCTCCCAACCCTACAACCTTAC